TGCACAATCTATACTGGTTATTTTATTTATTTTAGCTGGATTTAATTTTCACTGAAAAGACTTTTCGGATGTTTTGTATGGAATTTATTTTCACTGATTTTTGACAAGTTGAATTTAAAATATAGGAGAAAAAGTATATTCGCTGGACTTTATTTTCACTGAATCATTCCTTCAGCAAAAATTAATTTCAAGCAAAAATAAAGTATTTTACAGTAGTTGAAATCTCTTTAAAATTGTGTGATGACTATACAATGTATATTGGTTTTATTGAAAAAACAAAGCATAACTACAACCTTGTTCATTGAGAATCTAAATAAAAAATGAATGGATGGATGGATACAACCTATGTACAATTTTTTCTTTGCATGGTATAAGTTAGTATAAAAGTCCTGAAACAATGCATTTTCAATTTGCTTATAATTATGAATTGCATAACATTTTCCCAAAATAGTAGAACAGCAAAATATCTAAGCAAAATTTGACAAGAAAAATACTAGTCAACATGTTAATCTCAATGTTCCTAATAGAATAATATAACATAAATTGCATAAAAGTCCCCAAATAGTAGTGCAGTAATATATTATATAATTATTATTTATTATTATATAACGATATATAAGCAAAATAATTTAATAGTGAGATTGGGAAAAAAACTTCAGCTTACATAATCACGACATGGAAAAACAATTACGGGTAAGTGGTTTTATTGTGTCAATATGTTAATGATTAGAGCGATAAACAACATTCAAGCCAATCACAGTTTAGCTTGTAAACCTTTGTCCTATTGACTAAACACAATGAGAAGTCCTTTAATTACCTTGTGCATCATGAATAATTACATGTACAGGGCTTGAACTTGGCAAATTCCTTGGGTGTCAAGGCAATTGCTTTCAATGTTACTCTGTATTTTAATCCCTGCATGTAAGAACAATAATATCCTTACATGTGTGCAGGCAAGATGGGAATTTCACATGTCTCAACACTTTAAAAAAAAGGGAAAAAAAACAAAAATCAAATGCTTTTTTCTTCTCATCAAATTCTGATGTGCTCTCCTGAAGTTTCATCAGATGATAGTGTGACCAAGCATACATCATAACATCAAGGCCATGAAAACAATGTTGTGAATGCAGATTATTGATATGATTTTCTTGTTCTAGCACGGTCCTCCAGTGATTGTAACACTGATAAATATGAGACAGTAAGCGGTAGCACCAACCTCTGCTGCGTGTTGTCGATACTCTCGCTGTACTGTCTTTGTGCATACTTAGCAGTATCCTCGTAATAACCTTATTATTTTACATCTTTTCCTCCCAAGGATACATCATGGGAATGCTGAAATCCAAAACGTTTAGAACAGATTTGTGTTGTCCGGTCAAACCCTGGAGGTAGCCATGTGTTTGTTTTTATTATTAGAGGACGCTTGAATGAAAATACCTGGTGCAATACCCAAAAATTATGGCACGCTGTAACTTATGGCGTTACAGTGACAGATGTATAATAATAATTGTTATTAACACTTACACATTCTACAGGAGACTGAGTACAATAACAATTAATGTTGCTACTTTCTTTTTTGTTATTTCATTATCAAATTCATTTATTCATTTAAGACTTATAAATGACAATTTAATCATTGCTATTAAATAATTAGTGTACAGTAATTATAACATACAGACAACACAGTCTCTCGCATTTTGGGTAACACTTGGTACTGGTTACCTGGCGACAGAAAATGGATGATATCCTATAAATCTTGCACTTCCAAGAAGAAATAAACCTATCCCATAATAAATAAAAAGGAAACAATTAATTGCCAACAGGGTAAATTGGAGTAGAGTGTGTAGGAGGGGGTGCAGTGAGTGGATGGTTGTAGTTTCGAAAAATATTACGTATTATGAATACAAGATTATATGTACATGTACCTTAAAACATGATTTCAGTACATGTATTCATATGGTTGAAACAATTAATTTGAATACTGTAAAATTTGTTTTTTTAGCTAACATGTTATTTTAGTTAATTTAGCTAAAATGTAATTTTGCTAATTCAAGATGCCGCAAATTTGTAGTAAAGTATACTCTCTCACGAAATTGTTTGACCCTTTAGCTAAATTATGGTTTTACAGTGAGTCAATTCCTTAAAATGGCATGTTGCTATGTTTTACAGTGATAAAAAGTCTGATTACCTGTTGCAAATACAGCCTTGGTTACTTTGCTTGCTCTGGTTGCATTGCTACCTGTGTACATAATGTATGCAGCAACACCATACATACAGAATCCACCTACAAGACGACATTCCAGACAGTCATCTTTATCAGAGAGTTGTGATTTATCTTTCATATATCCATCATCTAAGTTAGACATGCTGAAATCAACAAGAATTTATTTTGATAAAACTTTTGAAACAGTTTGAGAAGAACATGATTTTGGTAGTTTTCTTCATTGCTTCTTGAACTACATACAAGATAATGTATAACTATAAAACATGGATTTGTTGATCCACTCGGTGGTATGAGACAGATATCTGAAAAAGTACAAACTCCACAAGTGCACAGGTCTGGTAAAATGAAATCCTGCCATCAAGTTATGATTAAAGCTTGGACTACATGTCAAATTGGAGAGCACATTGGGCCATTCCAGTTTATATCTGCACCCCCCTGTTGATGAGGTCAGATTTCCAGCACTGTATGATGGGGAAAATACCCCGGAATTCCAACTGTATATGGAGAAACAGAATCTGGAAATCCAGACAAGTATGGAAAAAAAAATCCTGGAAATGCAGGCATGTTATGGCTACTAAATAAAATTTTAAGCCTAGTTTATCTCGCCACATATCCGGTTGATGAGGTTGGATTTCCAACAGTATGACTAAAAAACTTGGAATTCTGACTGTATATGGTAAAAAAATTGGGCCAGTATGAAATAGTTATTACTGAAATTAGATAAGGATGGTGGCACGAATGAGCTCATCAACACCGTGAATCAGGACTAGTTTGGATTTCCATTGTCAAATATAAAATTTTGAACTTGGTAAATTAGCATATGATGAGAGTTACATTTGGAAATCCTACTCTGTATGGTGGCACAATGGAACTCATCAACACCATAAGTAGGAACTATAGTTTTGGATTTCCATTACTGTATGGTGAATGGTGATTTGGAAATAAAACTTTGTATGACTTATACCCTGTATGAAGTAAACACACAAGCTCATCAACAGGGGGGGTGCAGATATTAACTGGAATGGCCCATTCTACCATGTATTGTCTCACTGTCAAATTGAGAAATATGAAATCTTGCATTAGGACATTCAGAAATGGAAACTCAAAGTAAATTTATTGTAAAAAAAAATTACAATTTTCAAAAAAGGGTACTTGATAAATAGTGACAAATTTACATTTCAAAGAGAAAATATTGTAAATATACCTTGGTGTAACAATTCAATCTAATGGTAAATTTAGTGACACAAGAAATGAAAGAAACAATGTTAATGGCTGTGAAACACAATGATCACAATCAAACATGGAGTGGTCTTATCCTTATTTAGATATAAGATCATCGGAGTTAAAAAAAAAATAAAAAAAAGCTCAACGAATAAATCATCGCGTTTTATTACCAACTTTCTCCAAAATGATGAATATTCATTGTACTGAACTGCTGTATTTTCCAAAGTCAGTGCTGTGTCAATAAATAAATAGGGCTCAGGGAGACACGGATATCTTTAAGCAATTTATGGAAGAACCCCCAAGGCAAAAATCATACTTTTCAGTGCCCATATATATTTTCAGCTATGAATATATGAACCAATCAAAACAAGGGTGTTACCACTTCATGATTTTATAGTCTGCTCACTTTTGCTTTTCATCAAGGAGCAGTGAAAATCAGCCTTCACAATTTTTTACAAGATCCTCCTCCTCCCATCCTCCGCCCAGTTAGGTATATGTTGGGGGGCGTGTGTTGTTTTGTTGTATTTTTTGCTACCACTGCAGTAGGACTTAACCCAAAGACGCTTGTCTTTGGTTTTTCACAATATCAAGATCTTGTAAATATCTAGCTGAATTTTATGTTTTGTAATGATTTTTAATATTAGCTGAAGTCAATATTTAGATGACCCATGTCCCATGGTACAATGAAATAGCATTATTTTGTGTGTTACAGTTATGCTTTTTGAGAAACGTGTCCTAATATTTCTTGAAAATTGCTATTTTTTAGAACAATTCCATAGATCACAATGTTAAACAAAAATTGCATTTTTTTGACACTTTTTAAAACCCAGATTTTTTAAATAATTCAGAACAACAAAAAGTACTCCATCATTAACAATATATGATTTTTTCAGCCTATGTCACCAGGCTAGATATTGAGATATTGCATAATATCTTAGCCATATAGGAACATGTGGTAAAAGTGTTATAATAGTGTCAAAATGTCGACTTTCCACTAAAATACAACCATCAATTTCTCGAAAAAAAGGCTGGTGACCCCCAACTTTTTTTAGGTCAATATCCTTATATTACCTTGGAGTACATTTTATTGCAAAATGAATAAATTCTGGGTTTTTAAATTTATGAGTAGACTTCTACTTTACAGCATTTGACGTCATTTTAATAAATGACATATATTACACACAAATCTGACTGGAGTGTTTGTTCTTGTGGGTATGTTGACATAAAATAAATATATACCTGATGACCAGACAGTTACACTAAATACTAGTAGGTGAAATGGCAGGGCACGGTTCTAGAAGCAGTACCTCTGATGAAAGACATTTACAAGCCTATATCGCATCCCCGGGTCACCATTTCGTCTTCTATTACCGGTACTTTAAAGTCAGGTGACAGGATGACTTAAGGTCAACCTAGGTCAACCACGCTTACAACTAGGCTGTGAAGTCGGCACTGGTAAAACCATTCAGAGCACCAGTTTTCACGTGTACTGTAATAACAATATGAGCTCAAATATAAATGTTCGCGAGTATGGAACCTGGAAATCACCAATAACCAGCGCTTCCGTGACTGAGGATGGTGTTGGACTGAGCCCCGCTGAAATCACCGTCTCTGACCCATCAGATCAGCGACAAGCAGGTACTATCTAATTAGTTACTACCTTATACTAAAATATGTTTGGATATTTAGAGTAGTATCACTCACTACTCTCACTTCCGGTCCGGTAAATATTCGTGATATAATTTATATTACGAATATTTACTTTTGAGATATAATTTTTGGTAATAATATTACTGCCTTTATTGAAATCATACTCTGTTCAGGATCTACATTTTTAAAATACAGTAAAGTTTCAGATAGATTCAAAATGGCAAGACAAAATACAAATGAAGACAAAATGAAAACATAATAAAATAAAAATAAAACACAAGGAGAACAAGGATTGATTATAAACAAACAAAACAGAAAAGGTATCTTTATAAGTTATATCAATTATAAATATTATAAGGCAGCTGGTATTTTTTGTTTATGAATTTCACTTCTTAAATTGAAGCACTCAAAGATATATTTTGCCAAATGAATTAGTGATTGTTTATCTTTTGTTTTTAGAATGTCTACAGTGTTTTCAATAATAATAATAATAACTTTATTACACTACTATGCCATCAGAGGGCGCAGTATGGTAAATAAAATACAAATCATAAGAAAAAATACAGTAGCTAGACTATAAGATAAAATTAAAAATAAAAGATGTTAAAAGCTTAATAGGAAAAACAAATTAAGGATAGTTACAGGATTCTCCCAATGTAGAGGTGATAGCTATCATATACCTGATTTCTGTTTTGCCTTATTTAGAAACTTTGCCAGGGGTATGAAGCACGTCATTATTTTAATGAAATTATCTGTTTTATTTAGTTTATTTTTAATTCCTATTTCCTGAAACAGCTCCCCTCTTTCTTTATTGATAAATTCACAATCTAGGATAAAATGTTGTTCGTCCTCACTGAATTT